GTGTCCGATCGGGCCTGTGTCCGATCGGGCCTGTGTCCGATCGGGCCTGTGTCCGATGGAGCCTGTGTCCGATCGGGACTGTGTCCGATAGACTCTGTGTCCGATTGCAACTACCACCTTCTGTCATACCGACGAATTGTAGCGACACAACATGGGTTGCGTGGTGGGGTGGGAGAGGGGAAGGGAGTGGGGCGGGGGTGGGGTGGGAGGGGGTGGGGCGCGCGCAGCGCGCCGTGCTAAACGCACTTGCAACTTAAATATTAAAAACCATTGTTAAACATTTTTTGTTAATAACTTTTTAACGAACAACGAGCGACGGCTAAAACCTTCTGAGGGTCACTCAGGAGGGTGACCTTGACCTTGACCTTGAATGTCAAGGTCGTAGGAGCTGGGTCCCCTATTCTGCAGTTTTACCCATTTGCAATATTATGTGTATACATAACAGTATATGTAACAATTATATATTACCTAATATTATATCCTTTTCCTTCTTCTATTCTCTTGTCTTCTGTTTTATACTTTTTCTTTCTCCTAATCTCTCTCTCTCTCCCTCCCTCACTCTTTCTCTCTCTTGTTCTCTCTTGACTTTCGTAAATAAAACATTTATATTTGCAATATACATTTGTACATTTGCAATATTATATACAGGGTGTACTTAAACTGACGATAAATATTTTAATGACAAGTACTTTGTAACATTTTGAGACGAAAATTCTAATACGAAAAAGTCGAGGCTATAATAGTTTTCAAATGGGAACAGTTTAAACATCTCGAATAGCAAAGCTAGAATTTCGCGCGCTCAGGGGTGGCAAAATGGTCAGTGATAAATGTGCTTTCTTGAACCACACGTCTTTGACATTAATGAAATTAGTGTAAAAATGTCTGCAAGAGTTTTATTAAGAAATTATTTCTGTATATTTGCAATGAATTTTAGAAATAGTTTAAAATGTTTTTTTTCAATAGTTCAAATCGATATTGATTTGCGTCAACTGTCATCAGCCTATCTATTTGGTTAAATTGCGACAAATTTCATCTCGGAGATTTACCACACACAGACACATACACACTCTCTCTCTCTCTCTCCCTCTCTTCTTTTTTATTATACAATATACTACACACGCACGCACGCACGCACGCACGCACGCACGCACGCACGTACACAAATACACACATGCACGCACGCACGCACACAAATACACATGCACGCACATACCACGAAGAGAGAGAGAGGGGTGGGAGAGAGAAAGTATATGGGGGGACAGTATAGAGAAAGGGTAGAGGGAAATAGACGGATAGATAGACGGAGAAGGGAAGCACGTGTAGACAGAGATGACACGACACGCGGGGATAGAGCGAGAGGGAAGTCATAGAACAAGACAGAACCTTTACCTTTCTCTATTAATTTCCTTTTTCCTTTTCCTCCTTTTTGTCTTCTTTTCCTTCTTTTTTCTTCTGAAACGTGACAGTTTGACAACATAAGTCACAGGGAATTAACGTTACTATTAACTTTCGATACACGTAATGTGCAATGACAGACACTCACGAAGTACGCGCAGCGAGACAATCAATCAGCATCGTGGAATAGAACAACTCATTCGACTATTCATATGAAGTTAACATTTTAAACGTAAATAACAAATTTCGTTTGTTATATCAAGTTGGAAAACGAGAAGAAATCGGAGAAAATTAAAAATTTATTCTGTTAAGTAAGTAATATTATTTTTTCTGTCTCGCTCTCTCGTTCTCTCGCTCGCTCGCTCTCTCGCTGTCTCGCTCTCTCGCTCGCTCGCTGTCTCGCTCTCTTGCTCTCTCGCTGTCTCTCTCTCGCTCTCGCTGTCTCGCTACCTCGCTCTCTCGCTATCGCGCTCTCTCGCTGTCACGCTCTCTCGCTCTCTCGCTGTCTCGCTCTCTCGCTGTCTAGCTTTCTCGTGATAAATAGAAAAGTGACACATCTCAAAATTAGCAACTTTTTAGTATAGCACTTTTAAAATTCTGAATTGGAACGTTTTAATTAATAAAAATGTAATTTCTATAATTTCACTTCTTTTCCATGTTATATTTTATAATAATATAGTTTTAAAACTATATTATTAGTTTTTAAAATTCGTACATTGCAACCCTAGTATAGTGTTATCTCTTGTCTGATTTGTGACACTTTTATAAAAGTATTTTATAAAAGTAAAATAAATAAATTACAAATATGTTATTTTTCCATAATGGGGACATAATCAGTTGATATCGATGGTTTTTAATAGATGGAGGTATGGAGGAGATGCGAGGGTTAACTTTGTTTTTTTAAATTGAATGTTTTTCATTTACTTTCTAATTACAGCATTTTAAAACGTATGTAATGACCTATGATTAAAGATCATTCAAGGTCGTAACATTTATGTAAAATGTTTGATTACTTTTTTTAGAAAATTAAAACAACAAGTGTACAATAAGATACTAACAATCAGAGAAGACATGAAAAAACTCTCTCTCTCTCTCTCTCTCTCATCATTTTGATTACTTGCATTAGCAGTGTGTACGTAAATAATAAATCACCGAAGTATTTCGATCGGTTCCTTGAAGTAAATTATTTTCCATTGTAATTGACTTTCAACGACTTTGAATGACTTTTAACCATAGAACATTGTATGCATCTTAAAATGTTCTAATATTAAAAGGTAAAAATCATCATTCCATTTAAAAAAAGTGTGCAAATTAGAAACTTGCACATTGTTTCTTCGTCATTTTAAAGTGTGCAAATTAGAAATTTGCACATTGTTCATCATTTCATTTCGCTTACAAAGTTTCTTTATGGAGGAAGCTTGTATTTTATTTGATGCATAATTATTAGTATTTATTAGTATGGCATCAGTGCTCTCACTCTCTGCTCCTCCTCTCTCTCTCACTCCTTTTGTTATTTCCTCCTTTTTATATTCTTACATTCTTTCGTCTTTCAGAGAAAGCAAATAATACTAAATTTATTTAAAAAAAACGAAATGTCTGATTCGGAGTCATCTGTAATACACGATCTAGAAGACATTCGAAAGGAAATGGAACAGATAAATCCCCTCGAGTTACTGTCATCTAACCAAATTATAGATGCAGTACGCATTTATGATTCCTCCGTGTAAGTACACACATAATAAATACATAATAGTACATAATAAATATCATTTATAATGAATATCATTATTGGTTGGAGTGAGTATTTTTCGCAAATTCTTTACGGGTTTTACATTCTTTACAGGTTTTTCCTTAATTTAAAAACTAAAAATAATAAATAAATGATAATAAATTATAACATTAAAATTATTAATAAAATGATGACAAATATTTATTAAATAAGAATCTTTTCAAAATTCAATGACTTACGTAATATTAGAGTGAACCGTATGACAAAATTTGTTCTTGTTGCCTTCTGATGTAGGACTATTTGTTGTCTTTTTACTCGTAGAAATCTCACTAAACAACTCTCCCAAAATTTCATCATCTTTGATCTGAACTAATTAATATCTTTTTTAGAAGGCATATTCCTTCTTTCTTCTTGCCCTCTTCCTTCCTTCTTTTCTAGGACCAGCCATGTTATTCTTATGTTTTTTCGCTTCTTGAATGCTCTCTTCAATCAGATCTGTTAGAATATGTAGTACATCTATATTGTACGGTAACGACAGATATTATGATATAGAAGAGTACGCGCGAATGGAATGCGAGTATAGACGCGCACATGTACGCCTTCCCACTTCTCTGTATGTATAGTATGTAACGTATGTACTGGACTTCCGTTTCCGGTGTGATCGAGAGTGACACGTGTGAGAGTTGAGCGAGAATTAAGAAGGCGAGAAGGAGAGAAAGAGAAGCGAAGTGAGAGCGAGAGCATGTGGAGGTGAGAGCGTGAAGGGAAAGGGACGTAAGGGAGAGGAGGGAGTTAAGGTAAGGGTGAAAAGGGAAGTGAGAGAGGAGAAGTTAGGAGAAAGTGGGAGGATACAGGTTAGAGCGCGGAATAGGATACACGGAGAGAGGTAGTGAGAGCAGTGGGAACAGCGACGAGCGCGAACGCTGGAAAGCATAGAGTAGGCGGAACGTAGAGGGGAAACAGGAGAGGGAAAAACGGTAGGCAAGACAGGCCATAGAGTAAGAGTAGAGAAGGAATAGGGAAGGAAAACTAGAAATGGAGGAGAACGGCGAAGAAGTACAGGAGGATAAAATAGAATTAGAAAGAATAAGTAAGATAAAAGGAAAAGGAAGAAGTGGGAGTACAGGAACGCTAGAGGAAATATGGAAGCGGAAAAGAATAGAGTTAGATAGTAGTGGAGGGGAAGACATATTTAGAAAGAGTAGGAAAACGATGAGATCTCCGAAGGAAGGGATAGGAGAAGGAGAGAGAAGTATAGAGGAAACGTTGAGAGAGATGATGAAGGAGCTGAGGAGAGAGGTAAGGGAGGATAGTAGAAAAATGATGGAGGAGTTGAAGGAAGAATTTAGAGAGAGAGAGAGAGAGAGAGAGGAAGGCAAGAGAGGAAAGAGAGGAAATAATAAAAGAAGGGAGAGAACAAATGAAGAAATGGATGGAGGAGAAGGAAGAGATGAAAAAGCATATAGAAAGGTTAGAGAAGAAAATGGAGGAGATGCAGGCAAGGAAGCAAGGAACGAATGAGAATGGAGGAGAAGCAAATGAGGAGGTGAAGAGGCTAGAGAAGAAGATGAGAGGTATAGAGATAAGAATAGAAAGGGAAGAGAGAGAGAAGAGAAGGAAGAATATAGTAATAAGAGGGATAAGAGGCGGAAAAGAGAAGGTAGAGACGGAGATTAGGAAATTAATGAAAGAGAATGGAGTAAAAGAGGAAGGACTAGAAATCAAGACGATAGAGGATGGAAAGGAAGGAGAAGTAAAATTAGCGGTGGTAAAGATGGAAGATTTGGAGGAGAAGAAGAGATCGATGAGAGAAAGAAGAAAGTTAGGAGAAAAAGGAGTGAGAATCGAAGACGATTTAACGTGGGAGCAGAGAAGGATGAAGTGGAAAATGGAAGAAGCAGCAAGAAACGAAAGAGAAAATGGCAAAAGAGTGTGGCTGAGATATGGACGGATTCAGATAGAGGGGAAGTGGTGGAGGTGGGATGAGGAGGAAGAAGTATTAAAGGATGAAGAAGGGAGGATATGGAAAGAGAAGGAGACGAATAGATGGGGTGAGGGGTGAGAAAGAGGAAGAGAGGAGGAGAGATGAGACAGAGAGGAAGAGGAGAAGAGGAGGGGGGAAGGGATGTAATAGAGGTAAAGGAAGAGAGGAAAGAGAGGAGGGAGTGGAAGTAGAGGGTGGAGAGGAGATAGGAGAGAGAAATAGGAAGGTACAGAGAGGAACAAGGGGGGGCAAAAAGAAGGAAATAGAGAAAGGTAAGGGGGCGAAAGAAGAAAAAGAAAAGCTTAGAAGAGAGGATGGAGGGAACATAAAGATAGCATTTTGGAACGTAGCAGGTTTGAGTAACAAGGATAGAGAATTCTGGAGAGACCTGGAGAAATGGGATGCAATAGTAATGATGGAGACGTGGGTGGAGGAAAAAGGATGGCGAAAGGTGAGAGATAGGCTTCCAGAGGGATTCATATGGAGAATGCAGGCGGCAGTAAAGAAGAATAAGAAGGGAAGGGCAGCAGGAGGAATGATGATAGGTATAAGAAAGGAGGTAGCAATAACGGATACGGAGAGAGAGGAAGAGTCAGAGGGAGTCATGATAGGTAAGGTAAAATTGGATAAGAAGATAATTAGAGTGGTAGGAGCATACGTAAATGGAGACATGGAGAGGAAGCTAAGTATACTGGAAGGATGGATGGAGCAAAAGGAAGAGGGAGTAAAAACAATAATAGGGGGAGATTTCAATGCGAGGACAGGAGAGGAAGGGGGAAAGGAAAGTATAGAAGGAGCCGATGAGTGGGGACGTTCAAGAGGTGTTCGAAGGATAAGAAGATAAATAAGGAAGGAAAGAAGCTGATTCAAAGTATAAAGGAAAGAGGATGGTATATTTTAAATGGAGGAGAGAGAGGAGACTGGGAAGGAAACTGGACATACTCAGGAGGAATAGGCGAATCAGTCATCGATTACGTGATAGTGGAACAAGAATCGGAGGAAGAAATAGAGAGAATGGAAATAGTAGACAAGATTGACTCGGACCACCAGCCAATAGTAGCATGGCTGAAGGGACATAAGAATAAGGAGGCGAGAAGAAAGAGGACAGAAAGAGAGGGAGGAAGAGGAATATGGGACGAGGAGGGGAGAGAACCATTTAGAGATAAACTAGGAGAAATAGGAACAGGAGGAGGATTGGACGAGGAAATAGATGGAATGGAAGGAAGAATTAGAGAAGCGATGGAGAAAGTAGAAGGGGAGAGGGAGACGGGAAGAAGAAAAAGGAGAGGATGGTGGGATGAAGAATGCAAGGAAGTGAAAGGGACGGCGAGGAAAGCGTTAAAAGAGTGGCTGAGAGGAAAAGGCGAGAGGCAGGAATACAGAAGAAAAAGGAAGGAATACAAGGAGTTATGTGAGAGGAAAAAGGAAGAAGAGAACAAAAACTGGAGAAAGAGGCGGAAGAAGCGCACACGGAGGAAATGGTATGGAGGGTGGTGAACAAGGAAAGAAAGAAAAAGAAGAAGATAAACACAGAAATAGAAATGAAACAATGGGAGGAGTATTTCAAAGCTTTGCTGGGAGGAGTGGAAAACAAAGTGGTATGGGGTGGGAAAAGGGAGGAGAGAAAGGGAGAGGAAGGGGAAATAGAGAGAGAAGAGATAAGAAGAGCAATAAGTAAGGTGAAAGATGGAAAGGCAGCAGGAAAGGACGGAATACCAAACGAAGTATGGAAGTATGGAGGAGAAAAGTTAGAAACATGGATTGGGGAGGTATGTAATAGGATATGGAAAGGGGAGGGATGGCCAGAGGGATGGAAAGAAGGAATGATAGTACCAATAGTAAAAAAAGGGCAAGGAGGTAGGGTAGAATATTACAGGGGAGTAACGATAATGCCGACGCTATACAAGATATATGCGTCGGTATTAGCGGAAAGGATAAGAGAGGAAATCGAGGAAAAAGGGATACTATCACCAACACAAACAGGTTTCAGGAAAGGGATGGGAACAATAGACAGTATATATGTAATGAACTACCTAATCAGCAGACAGATAAAGAAGAAAGGGAGGAAGTTAGTAGCAATATTTGTGGACCTAAAGGCGGCATATGATTCAGTGGATAGAGGGATATTGATAGAAGCGATGAGGAAGAAGGGAATAAGAGAGGGAATAATAGAGAGAGTGGAAGAGATAATGAGAGAGACAACGAGTAGGGTAAGAGTAAGAGGAGAAATAGGAAAGGAATTTTGGACAGCAAGAGGACTGAGACAAGGATGCCCATTAAGCGCGGATTTATTTAATATATTATTAGCGGATCTAGAAGAAGAAATGGGAAAGGTTAAATGGGGAGGGATAAGGCTGGGAGAGGAGAAAATATACTTGATTACATATGCGGATGTTGTGGTGGTGATAGCAGAGGACGAAGGATGTATGAGGAGCATGATAGAGAGACTGGAAAGATACATAGATAGTAAAAGGCTGGAATTGAACGTGACAAAGACAAAGATAATAAGATTTAAAGAAGGAGGAGGAAGGTTGAGTAAGGTGGATTAGAGATGGAAGGGAAAGAAGATAGAAGAAGTGAAGGAGGTGAAATATCTGGGGTACGTATTACAAAGGAATGGAGGACAGGAAGCACATATAAGGGAAAGAGTAGCAAAGGCAGCAGCAGTATCAGGACAAGTATGGGAAATAGGAAAGAGAAGATTTACGAGAAAATGGGAAAGAAGGATAGCGCTATTCGACAAACTAGTATGGACAGTGGCGAGTTATGGAGCGGAAATTTGGGGATGGAGGACGAGGGAGAAAATGGAAAGTCTTCACGAGAGACACTTGAAATGGATTTTAGGGATCGATAGATGGACACCAGGATACATGTTAAGAGAGGAGATACAGAGGGAGATGATGAAGAGCAGAGCAGAAAAAAGGGCATGGAAATTCGAGGAAAGACTATTAGAGGGAAGAGGTAGCATATTAGCGCAGAAATGTTTATGGGAAATAAGGGAGAGTGCAAAGGGAGGTAGGGAGATGTCAAGCTGGGAGATAGAGAGGAAACTATTTTTAGAAGGAAAGGGTTTAGATAGTAGGGAATTAGAAGAAGAAAGGGAGGAAAGGAGGATAAAGTACGAAGAAATAGAGAGAAGGGACAAGGAAATGCAGAGAGAAGAAAGATGGAAAAAAATAAGAGAGTCAAAAAGCAACAGATGGTACGGGAGGATAAAAGGAGAGGGGATACCAGGATATTTGAGGAAAGGATGGGGGGAGAGTAGATGGAGGAGGGTGTTAAGATTTAGATTAGGCAATGAAATGAAGGAGGGAAAATATTGGGAGAAGGAGGAAAAGAGAAAATGTAGATTGTGCGAGAATGAGATAGAGTT